CCACGAGTGCCATTGAGCACACCCGACCTAAGGGGGGGGGTGTGCGTGAAACTGGAAGGGCCTGGTGTAATTCTCACCAAGGAATGGGAGGGATGCTGGGGCATCCACGGGAACGGGGGTAGGTTCGAACGTCCCCAGGTCACTGGCTAAAGTGACCCCGCTCAGTTTGGTCTCGAAGGGGGGAGAGACGTGACGAACTGGGACTGTTCTTAATGTGGTCTTTGAATGCTGAGTGGGGAGTGTTGGCTGAGAAGGCAGGGGCGGTTGGCTAGGATGGTCTGCATCGGGGGATGGGAGACTGGCCTTGAGGAAAGATACCTGAGCATATAACATGAGAACCCAGGAAGGGGTTAGAGGCCAGGTGACATCTCTGCCCGGGAAACTGAACAAAGGCTGTGGAAGGGTTCGCTGAAGGGAGAGTTTCAGGAGCTGGCTGGTGGAATGACTGGGAGGCAGACAAGGCTCTGACCTCCCAAGGGGCTGTGGGGCCCTGGGACCCCAAGATGGACCTAACTGGGGGGGATCCTGTTGTCTGTGCCTGCAAGACCAGTTTTGGACTGTGTTCCTGTCATCTAAATAAACCTTCTGCTTTACTGGCTGGCTGAGAGTCATGGTGAATTGCAGGAAGCCGGGGGTGCAGGGCCCTGAGCCCCCTGCACACTCCATGACAACTGGTGGGAGCAGTGGGATTTTTCTATTTTTGTACCCATACAACTGTATCAAACTAAGAAAAGAAATCTTATTTCAAAGCCATCTAAAGAGCTCTTTTAAAAAAAAGAAAAAAAAATTTCTATCCCATCCCCTCTGTAGGACTTTATAATATAGGTTATATCTAGAAGCAAAATCAAATGAACCAAAAATACTGTAATGCAGAAAAAATGTACTATAAATTAGTAAAATTTACTTTTTGTGTAGGCAATTTAGTTACTAACTAGGCATGTTTCAGTGTTCCACTTCTGCCTGAGCAACCTTAATTCTGGTTTTTCCTAATATTTGAGTACTTGATTTTTTTAACCTTGCGAACATAGTTAACAGATGGTGTCGGAATACAGAGATAGAGAGATTAAGTATGGAGGCTCTACAGCTGGATTATTTATGGGACAAAGCTAATGACTTGTGTTCTAAACTTGGTTCCAAGACTAACTTGCACCACCGTAATCAAGGTACTTAACCTTTATCTCTCTATTTGACAATCAACAGTATAAAAAAGAGGTTATCAATATTTACCTACTATAGGGGTGTTGCAAAATAAATGTTTATGAAGATACTATATAATTGTAAGAGAGACAAGGTGCATAAGGTAATATCTTTTATTATACCAATTTTGATTGGTGAAAGAGAAGCTTTTGAGCTCCACAGACCTGAAGAAGAGCTCTGTGGAGCTTGAAAGCTTGTCCCTTTCACCAACAGAAATTGGTCCAACAAAAGATATTACCGCACCCACCTTGTGTCTCATATATTCTGGGACCCGCACAGCTACAACACCACTGCAAACAAAATATCAGTGCAAAGTATTCGCGTGCAGAACTATGTAAAGTCACTATGCTAACATGGCACTCCATGTTTCCTAATGACTTCCATGACCATATGTGTTCATTTTTCCAAATAAAATGCTGTTTATTCTAATAATTATGGCACAAAGTTAATATAAACTGAGAATTAAGCTATGGTTCCCTCCTTCTTATGCAAGGCCACAAGTAGTAAAGCCAAACTGTGCATTTAATGACAACTGTACAAACCCACTGGCATCAAAGGGGTTTTGAAAGATTTAGATGATTGGAACTTAAACAATTAGCTTGATGATGCACAAGAAAGGATGGAATACTGTTTACTCAGTCTTAGTTGCATTGGCTCTTACAAGTTGAACAGGAATAAAATACAATCAAAACTTACTAGTTAAAATTCAGCAGATATGACTCTGAATGCATACAAGCAACAAATCCATTGAGTAAGAAAGTGCTATTTTTAGACAGTCACTTTTCAGAGTACAGGTTTCAGGGTAGCAGCCGTGTTAGTCTGTATCCTCAAAAAGAACAGGAGTACTTGTGGCACCTTAGAGACTAACAAATTTATTAGAGCATAAGCTTTCGTGGGCTACAACCCACTTCTTCGGATGCATATAATGTGAAACATATATTGAGGAGATATATATACACACATACAGAGAGCATGAACAGGTGGGAGTTGTCTTACCTACTCTGAGAGGCCAATTAAGTAAGAGAAAAAAACTTTTGAAGTGATAATCAAGATAGCTCAGTACAGACAGTTTGATAAGAAGCAAGTGTGAGAATACTTACAAGGGGAGATAGATTCAATGTTTGCAATGGCTCAGCCATTCCCAGTCCTTATTTAATCCTGAGCTGATTGTGTCTAGTTTGCATATCAATTCCAGCTCAGCAGTCTCTGGTTGGAGTCTGTTTTTGAAGTTTTTCTGTTTTAAGATAGCCACCCGCAGATCTGTCATAGAATGACCAGACAGGTTAAAGTGTTCTCCCACTGGGTTTTGAGTATTATCATTCCTGAGGTCAGATTTGTGTCCATTAATTCTTTTGCGTAGAGACTGTCCGGTTTGGCCAATGTACATGGCAGAGGGGCATTGCTGGCACATGATGGCATATATCACATTGGTAGATGTGCAGGTGAACGAGCCCCTGATGGTATGGCTGATGTGATTAGGCCCTATGATGATGTCACTTTAATAGATATGTGGACAGAGTTGGCATCGGGCTTTGTTACAAGGATAGGTTCCTGGGTCAGTGTTTTTGTACTCAATACATAATACTACAACAGACTCCAACGAGAGCCTGCTGAGCTGGAATTGATATGCAAACTAGACACAATCAACTCAGGATTAAATAAGGACTGGGAATGGCTGAGCCATTACAAACATTGAATCTATCTCCCCTTGTAAGTATTCTCACACTTGCTTCTTATCAAACTGTCTGTACTGAGCTATCTTGATTATCATTTCAAAAGTTTTTTTCTCTTACTTAATTGGTAAGTTGGTAAGACAACTCCCACCTGTTCATGCTCTCTGTATGTGTGTGTGTGTGTGTGTGTGTGTGTGTGTATATATCCTCAATATATGTTTCACTCTATATACATCCGAATAAGTGGGTTGTAGCCCACGAAAGCTTACACTTTTCAGAGTAGAATCACACTTTAAAGGAAGTCAGTGAAGGTGGGAACAGAACTCAGAAGTAGAGCTTGGTGGAGAAAGATAATTCCATTTTGTGGAAGTCCCGCCCGCCTTTGGAACAAAACGTATACTTTCTCTGCGAAAGAGACTGGAGCCCCATCTCCAAGGCAAGTCTACATGATGGGCTGCCGCAGAGGCACGGACCTCAGGAACAAAGGAGCTGGGGGAGCAAGTTAGCAGAAAGCCAGGCATGTTTCTTGCCTAGGTTTCAAAGGAATTTAATCAAAGTGGAACCATCTCGATGAAATTTTTCAATATAAATGAATCAGCAAATTCTGATGAAAAAAAGAGTTATGGGGGAA